CCCCAAAACCCCAAAACCCCAAAACCCCAAAACCCCATAAAGCAGTTATTTTATTGGAATGTGTTGAGAAGTAAGTAAAAGGCGATTAGTCATCGCTTACGCTTTCATAGCCATGATTTTCATCATAGAAGTTACCATTTCCATCAGACATCGGCATCTGATTGGTAACATCCTCTTGCTGTTGGATAGTTGATCTGTATTGCTCTCTAATGATCTTTTTAAATTCTTCGATCATGACAACATCATGTCTGTTTTGCATTGCCATATGAGGAGCATATTCACAGACCTCTGAGGATATCCATGGAGACTTATGAATGTTATTGTGAGAATAAGAAATGTTAATCATTTCATCAAGCGCTACATGGACTTCAGCAGTAACCCAAGCCTGCCCGAGGAAATTGGCATCGTATTTCTTTCCAGTATAGCTCTTTTCATTATACAAATCATCATCAGAGTCATATTCATTCTCATAAGTAGTAATTTCTCCTTTCTTAATATCTTCTAATCTCTTGATCTTATATTGGGAATTAGCAGATTCTCTTGTGAACACCTTCAAATTGTGCCCGTTCTTAGAAGTATTTGGATTCTTTCTCATCCAATCAATGATCCAATCCCATTCATCTGGCGAAGCAGCCAAGTATTCAGCAACAGCTCTGCTCTTATTACAAAGCTTTACCAAGAAAGCAGTGAATCTTGCCATGAATGAGGGGAATTTGACATTATCCTCAATAATCTGGAGATAGCTCTTGATTCCCTCTGCCAATCTGTTTTCTGCATTATCATCTTGGATCAGCAGGTATCTCTTAAAGATAGGGAAGTATCACTCAATCTCGTCTAGCTGCTTATCATGGATTTCAGTAATCATTACATTTTTAATTTTGTCCTCTAAGCCAGGCACAGACATCATTGCATGAATTAAGAAGTCTCCCATAAACCTATTAGCTATCCTAGTTGTGCAGGTCTTGATTAATGCAATGTAGTCAACCTCTTCAAGGATGCATAATCTCCAATCTGATTCATCAAGTTCCTTGAATCTCACATGATCAATGAAGCTATCAAGGTCTGAAGCTTCTCCGATCTGGCACGATCTGAAGCAAAGACTGTAGAGTTCCCAAATGTGAACGTAATCTTGCACACCATCAGCAATTGCAGCATCTCTCTTTTTCATTATCATTTCTTCCCAAATAGAAATATAGGCATTTTCTACACTAGTTGGGAGACCAACCTCTGGAGTTTCATTCTCTTCGTAGATCAAGGTCTTGTCATCTTCAAATTTGTCAGCATCAGGACTCGAATCTTGTAGATAAAAGTTGTTAAGCCTAGCTAATATCTTGGCTCTCAGTAAATAAATCCTTGCTTGTGGTCCTAGTCCAGCGAATTTTGCTAGAAGACAGAAATATTGGCTGTTATTCTCAGTATGATTAGCCATATCTTCGATATTACAGATTAGCAAGTTGATAAAGTTCAACAGATGGCTGTTAGAGTAAAATTCTCTCTGCCCTGCTTTGTACTCCCAATATTCTTGTAAGATATCCTTCTCTTCTTCGTAGAGATGAATCATAGCACAGTAAACTAATCCTCCAGTGAGCTTTCTCATATCTGGAATTGGACATGTCACTAAATTCTCATAGAGTACCTCCTTGTTTGAGAACTGGGTGATAAGCCATCTGCATGCTTTGATGCTTTTATTAAGATAAGCTTTGATCAAATCCAGAATTTCTGGGACCAATTCCTTAGGGACTGCTCTTTGCTTCACAGTCAGATAGAAGGTAGCAACTTGCTTGAATATTTCAAATTCGATCATGTCTATCTTCTCACCTCCATATTTCTGATAAATATCAATCGATTCGGATGGAAGCAAGACCTTCTCACTGTACACCTTGATGTTCTTATTTGCTGAATAATGTTCAGAATGATTTATTTTATTGACTTCACTAATTCTCTTAATCTCATTTTTAAAAGCAGCTTCATCTATTCCTTTCTGTGCATAGTCTCTATTTCTAGTGTCATAATTGTACAATGTGATGTTTCTTGTGTTCCATAAAGATCAGAGCTCAAGGATGAAATCGCTGTATTGGGATGAGAACATAAATCTAGATTGCCAATACTTTCTATTATCTTCTTCAATCATATCTCCTATTTCATTAGGCACTTTGATAGTATTGCTTCTCTTCATTTCCAAAGGCTCAATATCTTCTTCGTGATGTTCTGAATCCATGACTATATCAGATTCTTCTTTATTATCAGCTGGCTGGGCTGATTGCTCTTCATCTTCATTTTCATAAGGGATATCTTCTTTAGATACTCTTTCATAGAAAAGCACATATGCATTTCTATTCTTCTCAGTATTCTTGAACGATAAGAAATGGTTAAATTGACTATCTCCCCATTTTTCTTCACCTCCGAAGCACTCAGATTCCAGGTCTTCCTTATCAAAGTCTTTCACAAGTTCGTCGTTGAATTCATACCATCTTTCTTTATCAGTAAGCTCCCTATCTTTGATGAATGAATAGTAGTGGCCTCCATCAGCAACTCCTGAATGTACTAAGACTCCTGAGAGTTTGTAGTCATAGAGCTCGAGAGGGTATTTTGGCTCTAAGGGTTCTTCATCATCTTCTTCTTTCTTCTCTTCTCTCTTAGCTTGTTCCTCTCTTCTTTTCAGTCCTTCCTGGGTATAAGGCTCCATGTTGATAGATTCTGGGAATTCACAGTAATCATTTACTTTCAACTTCTGCATGTAATTGTAGTCAAATTCGAATCTCTTTAATACCATTATTAAGTGTCTTGGGAGCTTCTTAATACAAGTACGTTTGAGGGTAGATACCTTCTTGTCACATTTCTCACAGTAGTAGGCATTATCTCCATCAAGCATTTCCCCTTCAATCAGAGCTTCTAGACTGTCTTTAATACTCTTCTTGTTCTTTACTTGGAGGGTGACTGCAAGGTATGGCTCTTTAGACTCTGAATAATGTGGGCAGCCTTTACAGATAAGCTCGTTAGCATATTGACCACCAAAGTGATCCTGGATCATTTTCTCTTGCTTTGATCCCTTAATGGCAAACTCAAGTTTATCCATGAACATATTAAAGAACTCATCTACATCCATCTGGATCAGAACATTTGTAGGATTTCCATCCCAGTCTTTAAAGGCATTAGTGAACCCTTGTGGGTTGAAGTACTGCTGCTCAGATTGGTTCAAGAATGCAAAGATGCATTGCAAGTGGAATAGCAAGTTATCTTCTTTAGGTGTTTCTTCTTTCTTTGGATCATCAATTGCAAGAACACTCTCTCTAAATGAAGGAATCATGTATAGCTGTTGAAGCATTGAAATCATGTATCAGATACATCCTAAGTTCTTAATTCCAACATATCCAGTTTGAGATTTCTCATCTGTATGAGGTGAGATAGTCCAATCTCTGTATAGTTTTGTTCTCCATCCAGATTTATCTTCAAGATGAGTAAGGTATTTAAGAACGACTTGAATATTTTCAATGTTATCTCTACACAACACATTGATTAAACTGAAAGCTGCTACTCTAGAATTTGAGGATTTGCACTTTGGAGGTCTAACCTTATTCATGCTTCATGCGGATTTTGGAACCTCAAATAAGCACTGGTGAAGCAAGAACTTCAATAGAATTTTTCCATATTTATCCTTATACCTAGGGAATTGCTGAATTATCAACTTGGTATGGCCCATAGCTCCAAAGATAATATGGTCAAACTCGTTTGAGCTCTTTTCAATAGTTTCTTTTTCAAAAATAATTTTGACGTTTCTCTTCAAGATCTCTTCAAAGTCAATGTTCATTCTCTCAAGTTGGTATGTTCTTGTGCCAGAGAGGATATTTTGGACTATCTCGATAGCTTTATATGCTCTTGTGTGGTTTTCAGAAGCGACCTCATCCATGTCATAAATAAGTTTGAGCATGATCATCTTCTTGAACTCCAAAAACATCTGTAACTCATTTTGCACATTAGCACAGACTTCCTTCAGGCTATCTCCAAAATTATTTCTGAGGTAGACGTTGTCTGTCACAAAGAGAATATTTCTTAGAAGACTTGTAAGATCCGGGAACTCAATAAACTGTTGGATACAGGTCTCATTGTTGAAACAGTCAAGGTAGTAGAACAACTTGAAAGAGAGAAGAATGAACTTTCCTCCTTCATCAAACTTCTTGTTCAGCTCATTGATTTTGCGAGCATAAGTATTTTGTTCCTCCTGTTCATTGTCACTCTTGGATTTTTCGTAGTAAGATAGGAGTCGCATACTTTGTTGTTCAAGTTTCTTGTTCTTGTAGAACAAGTCATCATAAGAATCACCTCTCTTTTTACAATCACTGATAGAGTTCAGAGTGATTTGATGGATAATTCTCAGTATTTTATCTATAGCTACAATAGAATGCTCTCTGTAGATCTCGAGAAGATTAGGAGCACCTTCGATTTCTGAGATTTGGTCATGCTTCTCCATTGAGATACAAATCAACCTCACTAGAATATCCACAGATTTAAATGAGAGGTTTGAGATGATCTTTGAAGGATCAATTTTTAAGAGTGTTGAGAAGAGGTGTTGATATCCTCCAATCATTAAGAACTTAGCCAACCATTCATTTTCAGAATTTTGAGATTTATTGCTGATAATCTGAAGGGAGTATAGCATCTTATGTAAGGAGTGCCCATCTATCAGCTCTTCCCATTCTGCTTCAGAACTAATGTCTAGTTTATTGAGCTTAATAGCAGTAGGGACTTCGTCTTGAGGGAGTTTCATAAGCAATTTCCAGATATTATCCACATCGTAATCTTCATCATTGGAGAGAAGATCAAACATCAGGTTAAAAAATTCTTGGTTACCCACTAAAATATTCTTGGGATGAGGTTCTGAAGCATCCTTTTTGTTTTTCCTGATCATGTACATAACATTGAATCCAATATCTCTGATTGCAGTATCATTTTCTTCTGGTCCTAGGGATTTCCCTCCCACAAAGATAGTGAAATCGTTGACTCCAAGGTCAAAAGCCTCTGCAATCTTTCTCTTTGCATATAAAATATTTTCTGTGTATGGAACTTGCACATTTTTCTCAGAGTTTTCATCAGCTGAGTAAACTCTAATTGGGAAGCAACTAGAGCTGCTAACTTCATCAACTTCAATATTCTTGCCATCAAATGTATCAAAGAATTTATTCAAAGCTAGGATGGCTGAGTTTATTATAGCTTTATCATCAGACTTAAGATGATCTAGACACTTATTCACAAAGATAGCCCAAATCTTTTCTTTCTCTTCTTGGTCAAAACTTTGAGGACTTAAATGAAGATGCAATCAGCAGAGGAGGTACAGAGAGTCTTCCTTTACTTTAGAGTCCTGGCAATAAAGTACTATTTCCCAAAGACTATCCATTCCTTTGATGTCATCAAATGAGAATACCTTGTATGATCTGTGACTGAAGGCTATGTATTTATTGTCTAATCCAAAGTACTTCTTAAAGCATTTAAAGCAGCTTAGAGATATATCTTTCTTTTGGACATACTCATTCTTACATAAGATTTGTTCAAACAAGAATGTCTTCTCTTCCTCATTTAAAAGTGACTGGTTAGAGCTCATCATCATTGAAGTTGAGTAGACCGCGCTCTCCTTACAAAGCCACTTAAAGAAAGTGTTTTTGTCAAATTCTATACTTGAAGCACTGACAAAAATGTTCCATAATTTTTGGATGTTTGCTGTTCCAATCTCGACTCTGTTATCTGAAATAGAAATTATATTCTCTATAAACTCAAGAAGCTTATCTAGTTGTTCAGCATGAGTTACATTTCCCTCAAATTTAGTCTTTGAGACATTTTCAGGTACAAGCCCCTTGTTTACAGAGGCGACCATCTGCTTCTGGACAAGTGCATTGTATCTCTCTATGTTCTTAATGGTCAGAGAAATGAAGTCGAATTGGTCGTTAAGCTTCTTGATAGCAACTTCAGAGTTAAGTTCAATCTCAAAGGATCTGTAATTAAATGCTAGATTAAAGACGCTCATGAAGATCCTGATTGATTGGTAGACAGCCACTCCTTCCATCATATTCTTAATACACTTAAGGATATATGAAGCTTTGCAAGAGTCTGAAGTACTTTCCTTAAGTAAGTCAATGAATTCTGATAAAGTATGACCTCCTAGTTCAGAATTTTGTTGGAGAATTTCAAATAAGATAGGGAGACCAAACTCCGGCATATCTGAGTTAGGAGCAGCTACAGTTCCTTCAATGATTCCTTTAGCGTTATCAACAATAAATTCATTGATTTTACTTTCTTCTTCATCATTATCTGAGTTGACATCAACGAGTTCTGATCCTTTTAAACTTCTGAAGACTTCAAAGCTCTTAAGAGTGAACTCTTTGACAAATTTAACAGTCTGTTCATTATACTTTTTGATTGGCATCGAGTTGATCTTTTCAAACAGATAAAGGATAGACTCTTGGTTAAGAGAACTAGCAATCTCATTTATTGTTTCATAGACACCAAGTACAGTAGCTTCGTGCTTATCTTCTTGTGACTTCCATAGTAATTCAAGGTGGTTTAAACTTAAATGATTGTGACTGGCTAAAAATACAAGGAGAGAAGCTGATCTCTTAATAACCTCAACATGAGAGCTTTCTCCAAGTAAGAACTCAACAAGCTTATTTTCTTCAATCCAGTTGATTAGATACTCTGGCTTCAACCATCTTGATCTAATCCTTGGGGAGTCATCATCTTGCCATTTGGGATGTACCATTCTTGTGCCAACTCTTTCTGTCGACTTAACAATGGATTTTATTTCATTAATACCAGTGAGTCTCTTTTTCATTTCAGGAGATTTCAAGAATCGAAGTGCAAGTCCAAGCTTGACAGACTCAAGCTGCTCATCAACAACTTCTTCAGGGAGTCCGAGGCAAAGGAAATCTCTAAAATCACTCATGATATGGTGGATAGTGTTCTTATCCATCTCCTTCATAGAATCATCAGACACATTCTTGAGTCTTCCAACAATAATGGATTGCAGTTCCTCCGCCATCTCTCTTGTGTACTCAGGATTGAGTATACTCGAGCATGATTTGAAAGGAGATGTGAATTCAGGAATCAGATCTAAGGGCAATGCAGGGTTGTCTTCAAAGGGAACTACTCTTTGAAGTACTTTTCTTAGCAAATCAAATCCTCCATGAAATTGAAAGTGGTCCAAAAATTCATAGAATAGTCCAAAGCCAAGATTTTTGTCATCAAACATAAGTTCTCTGAGCTCATCGTAGTCTACCTCCTCTCCAATGAATCTATCTTGGTCAGAATCTCTCTTCTTATAAGGAACACAAATGGATGTTTTAGGTTCTTCTGGATCTCTGTCGTGTTTAACATAAAATCTAAGGCATCTAGGATTTCCTCAGAAAACTGTTTTCAGCATTTCAATGAACTCTTTATGGCATAGTGCTATAGCTACATTTTCGTCTACAAGATACAGGTCTGCACACATCTTAGCTTCATCAAACTTCTCGATTAGGCTGGGAACCACTTTAAAGTAGGTACAGATAAGCTCTAGACACTTCTTAATGAAGGGTACTGAGATCTCAAGGATCCCATCTTCACTCTCATAGATTCTTCCCATGATTGTATCCAAAGCTGAAAACAATGTACCTCTATAAAATTGAGTGGTCTCGATAGCACCAAGTCCTTTCAAGTCATTTTGGATACAGGTATCCATCTTTTCCATGAAGCACTGGTAATCTTCAAGCTTATATTCGTTCTTCCTCATTGCTATTTTCGTCTGGCCTGTGTATCCTACTGAGTTTTTCCTGAAAGGAGCCACCTTGTAGGATCCAATCCTCATCCATTCATCCCATTTATTAGGCCAACCATCGTAGTGAACTTTGATGTTGTTATCATCTATCTCTTCAATAGTTGATGCTAACCAAGCATTAATAGTATCAATAGAGTCTACCCACACTCCAGGCTTAAGGGTTCCATACGGGTTAGCACAATTCTTGGCTAATTGTATCCTTCTCTCAAGTGGAAGGTCTTCAAGAGGAATACCTTCTTCGTCTTTAGTTCTTCCTAGTTCATCAGTTTGAACAATACTCTCGTCCTTTAGGGCATCGTCAGATAGTCCATCATCTATTCCAGGATCTTCAATTGAATTTTGAATTTCAGGGTCGTCAGCCATATCTTCAAATAAATTAAGTATAATTTTCTACCGAAAATCTAATTTATGGGGTTTTGGGGTTTTGGGGTTTTGGGGTTTTGGGGTTTTGGGGTTTTGGGG